ACAAGTTTGACATCGACACTGCTGGGATTTATCTGGTACGTCTTCATTTCTTCAATTCAACTGATGTCTCCACAGCTGTTTTTTATGTTTCGACCGATCGATTTTCCCTGTTGAAAAATTTCACCATTCCAAGAAGCACTACCAACGATAGCAATTCTTCCGTTATAGACGAATTCCTCCTAAACATCACGCAAGGAAAATTTTCAATCTACTTTACCCCTCAAGGATCCTCTTTCGCCTTCATAAACGCCTTAGAAGTCTTCCTTGCCCCGGGAAATTTGATCCCTGACCAGGCTATAACACCAACTAATAAAAGTTACAGTGGTATCCTCTCCCACGCTTTACAGACAATTTACAGAATCAATGTTGGGGGAGAAAAATTAACACCAGATAATGATCCCTTATGGAGGACATGGTTAACTGATGACGGGTTTTTATATAATCCGAACACGGTAAAGAGCACAATGACTTGGGCTCAGCCTAAGTATCATGGAGAAGTTACTAATTATATTGCACCTGATCCGGTGTACCAAAGTGCCAGAGAGATGAACATAGATAGTAAGTTCTCAAACACATCCAATGTGACGTGGTCCTTCATTGTGTCTAAGAATTCTAGCCATTTTGTTCGGGTTCATTTCTGTGACATTTTTGGTACATCAGCGGATAGCATTACATTCAACTTGTACCTTAATAGCATCTACCCTCAGAAAATGGATCCTCATGACAAAGCTGGTGACGTGGGGTCACCGTTTTACGTGGAATTTGTAGTTGATTCTGATGAGTCAGGGGTTATGAATGTCCGCATTGGTCCTTCGAACGATTCGCAGGAGTATTATACGGCGTTTTTGAATGGAGTGGAGATAATGGATATCATGGGTGAATCAAGTGTAGTTATCAAGCCAGATAAAAGTAAGAAAACTGTCTTCCCTGTGGTCGGTCCTGTTGTTGGGGGTCTACTTATTTGCGCCTTGGTAGTTGGGTTGTTTATTGTTTTGAAGAAGAGGAAGAGAACATCGGTTAAAACTTTAGTTTGGTCGCTGTTCAGTGGACACGGTGGCGGAAGTTCCGATGGCAAGGGGACCAATAGAACCATCAATGTCTCCCAGGTCCCAAATTTGAACCTTGCCTTGAGAATTCCATTCGCTGAAATTGAGTTTGCTACAAACAATTTTGATGAGAAGCTGCTGATTGGAAAGGGTGGATTCGGAAATGTTTACGGAGGTAACCTCAAAAATGGCTTGAAAGTTGCTGTGAAACGGGGTCAACCAGGGTCCGGCCAAGGGTTGCCGGAGTTTCAGACGGAAATCATGATCCTGTCCAAAATCCGCCATCGCCATCTTGTTTCCCTGATAGGATACTGTGATGAAAGGTTTGAGATGATACTGGTTTATGAATTCATGGAGAAGGGGACATTGCGGGACCATCTATACAACAGAAACCTACCCTGTTTGCCCTGGAAACAGAGGCTTCAAATCTGTATCGGTGCAGCCAGAGGCCTTCATTACCTCCACAAGGGTTCTACCGGAGGAATCATCCATCGTGATATCAAGCCGACAAACATCCTGCTTGATGAAAACCTCATCGCCAAAGTTGCAGATTTTGGGCTCTCCAAGTTAGCTCCAATGGACCAAACCTATGTAAGCACAGGGATCAAAGGCACATTTGGTTACCTTGATCCTGAGTACTTCAAGACACAACAATTAACTGAGAAATCCGATGTTTACTCCTTCGGTGTCGTACTTCTTGAGGTGCTCTGTGCAAGACCGGCTATAAGTAGAGATCCTCAGCTTCCAAGGGAACAAGTAAATTTAGCGGAATGGGGACTTCTCTGCCACC